AATGCAGTCACTAATTAGCCTGAGTGCACAATATCAATGGTGTTTGTGTGTGTGTGAGTGTGTGAGTGTGTGTGCGCACCAGTGTGAGCTGGTGACGTTCTGCGGTCAGGGTGATTTTCTTGCCTCCCCATTGTGGTACAGGGGCCTCTGTATCCCAGCGTGTCTGTGTGAGGGGTAGAGGGGGGTAAACTCTCTTTGGAAATACTCTCAAGGGATCCTCTGTAGTTACTTCAGGTATATGGGACCCCTATGGAGAGAACAGAAATTAAGAAGGTGAAAAAAGTCCCAGCGTAAAAAGAAAAAGCCTGCCGAAGGTACACTGGAGGGCTTTTTTTTTCGGTAAACCATGTGGGAAAAGTGAAGTGGAGGCTTCTTCGGCTGGGTGCAAAAGCTTCTGGAAATTTCCAGCCTGCCATGGTTACGCCACTGGCCGTGCTCTGTGACGCACATGTGAGAGCAAAAAAAGGTTACAAATCACATCAGGCACTTGAGGGACTAATATGTGGTCACCAAAAGTGCTATTGTGTAAACATCATTTTGTTTTGTTTAAAAATTCTTAGCATTGCAGTTTTATGACAGCAATTTTATAAAGAGGCAACCAGGGGATAATAAAACCATCCATCCAAACCATCTATCGCCAGTTTGTTAAGTAAACTTACCAAAAATCAGTGGCGTCACTAGGATATTATGGGCCCCTGTGGAAAAAAAAATGATGCCCCCCCCCACCTCTTAAGAACATTACTTTCAATTATGACAGCATAATTTGCTTGTTTACTCTACCGGTAAGTTAACAAGACCAGTCCATCTACTACCGTCCAACATAAAAGCTGACGTTGGGCTACTTATTTAAGATTTTAGAACTATAAATAATGAACATCATCTTGGCTGTGAAGGGCCTGTTTGAAAGCCGTTACCATGGATGAGCTGCATTATGAATAAGAGGGAGATAAACAGATGTCAGTTCTGTCTGTGCCGTGTAGATGGAAGCTAACTGATGAGGTATGTTGTTAAGAAATGGTCTCATGGGAGTGCAATTGTGTCAGCATCTATATGAGGGGCCCAATAAAGTTTTTTATTGGAACCCGGTCAGCATCTTCTAAAGCTGGAGAGTTTAGCTCCAACCATAATCTAATACATCTGATAGGTAAATAAGGCCTTCAGGGGCATCTGACCATTAAAGCCAGGTGTGGTGGATGGTGGTAGGTCTCCAGGACAACGACTGAGCAACCTGGCCTACTAAATGTGCACCAAGGAATGCTACAAAGGAGGGGTTTCTAATAAAGTGGCCAGTAAGCATGCATGATGTGTAAACAACAACACTGCTGTGTCTGATACACTCGTACTAGCTCCACTCACACTACCATGGCAGTGTCAATGTTGTGCTGAGAATGGACCACCCAAATAATGTTTGGTCAGTGGAGGTCTTATAGAGGTCGCTTTCCTTTGATGGACAGGGCTGATAAACTGTGCAGTATCAGATGGGCTACTGTCTGCAGGGGCTCAACTGAGAAAAAAGACCGACATGAACATGCATATTGCATATATATGCACATACTGAGGCACTGTCATCACGTTTCAGATAAAAACAAACATTGACTTAAGAGTTTTTCTTTTTCCAAAAGCAGCAAAGAAAGCCCTGTTTCTATCTATGGCCTCTTTCCCATTGTAGGGTTGAAAGGTTCTAAGCACGGAGGGTAACCTTGGCTTTCCGTAGCTCATTTTTATCGGCACGGTTAAATAACCGTGCTCAGGGCCACAGAACCGTTCGAAGGGGTGGCGTGATGACGCTGGTCTTCGCTGACTGGTTTACGTTGATATTGTGCCACCACATCCTGCTGCGTTCTTTCACAACCAAAAACAATCAAATAAGTTCAGTTCGCTCACACGGACAGGGCACATAAATGAAAGCAGTGCATGATTTCAATCTTCTATTCAGTAAACGTCAAAGCTTCAATCTAACAGATTTCTAAATATTAAATGGCACTGGTAACCAGAAGCGAGTGGCTGGTTAGCAATAGCTTAGCTAGCAAGCTGCCAGCTCTGCTTACCACAGAACAGCTTCGATTCTGACAAAAAGCATTGCTGACGCAAGTTTAGATGACTAGAACTCAAATCTGAGGAAGAGAAGTTGAGTGGCTGGAGTTAGAGGGACAGAAAGACAAAACTGAACCTGTTCTGTAGTATTTTACCTGTTCTGTAGTAGCTTAGCCTGCTAGGCTAAGCTACCGGGCGTGTTCGGTGCCTACCACCGCAGTACACACTCAGTTTCAGCAAATCGATGCTTAAAAACACCTGTTCAGAGGATAAAGACTCATGTCTGAGACTGCAAATTCCACTGACTGGTGTAGATGAACAAATAAAATTGTTCTGTGGGGCTTTGAGCTGAACCCTGCTGGGTGACGCTAATGCTAGTGAAGTTAGCTGGCTTCAGATTCAGCTCACTGCAGTTCAGGCTCAGTTTCAGGACTACGTGCGGGTTTGAACCCCAGCCATTAGTCAGCGTGCAAAGCCATGACATTATTCACTACACTATTTAATCAGGACACAGGGTTTAGTTATAACTCCCCATAGAGTCTCACTGTTTTTCTCCGCAATGGAAACTTGAAAAAATTATTAACACCTTAGCAACCCCCCGTCACACTACAGAAATCACCTAGCAACACACAAGCAACAACTTGGGACACCATAGGAACCACCTAGTAACACCCTAGCAACCACCTGGGATATCATAGCAAACACCTAGCAACCACCTGAAACACCATAGCCTCCACCTAGCAACACCCTAGCAATCAACTAGTAACCTTCTGGGAAACCATATCAACCACCTGGAACAGCACCGCAACCACCTATGAAAACCCAAGCAACAATCTGGCACATCATAGGAACCACCTAGTAACACCCTAGCAACTACCTGGAATATCATAGTAAACACCTGGCAACCACTTGAAACACCATAGCAACCACCTAACAGCACCTTAGCAACTATCGAGGATGCCATAGCAACCACCTAGCAACCATCTGGGGTACCAGAGCAATAACAGGTCAGAACCACAAGGGGTCAGTACTGCACCAGAGGGGGCGCCCAAGAGTGATGATTCTCATAGAACCCAAGTCAACCCACAAGCTCTGTTCCTGGGGTGAGGCCAAGCTCCCCCTGTCTGTGCACAAACCTGATTCAGGTGACAAATCCAGGCATTTCTTCGCAGCCTGCCTTGATGGCTGGGTTATCAAACTTTCGCTTTACTGCCAGAGAAAGTGCTGACAATAAAAAAGAATCTATGGAGTTGTTATTTAATTTTACATTTCATGTTATTATTTCAAATGGAGCTGTGGAAAAACTCAAACTTGGGAGGAGGACCATGTCTGAAAACTCTCCTGCTTCCAATCTAACGCCCTTAAAATCCCATCCCTACCTTCCGTTTCCTGTGACGAAGTTTTCACAATCCCCACCACCACCCCATCTCCTCCCTGTTCCTCTGTCCTACCACAGTGAAAAAAGGGGGGTCCCACCCTCTACCTCCAGACAGAAGCCGTCCCAGAACTCCAGCCCAAGTTCTCAGAGTCCTCTCCCCTCCCTCACTCAGCCTTCACTCATACTTCCACCCTATGCTGAAGGCACCGTCCAAACTCGCAAAGTCACATTAGAACTATAACCTTAATTGGTTAATCAGGAGTCAAGTAAAGGAGTCAAGGAGAAATAATTTATGAGGCTGGAGTTCGACAAAACTGAAATATTCCAAAGCACAGTCACAGCTCCAACTCTGACTGGAAATTTTTTTAAAAATGGAGTGAACGTGGGAAACTCATCTCAAACATCTTGAGAGACGCAAGCAGTTGTGCCTGGATTTTGCCAAAAACTGTAGACGTTAGTCGGACCTTAGAGACAGGCTACCTCTCCTGGGGCTTGAGCTCACAGGCCGACAACCAGGGGACTCAAACAAGCTACTCATTCCAAGATGCCGGACTGAGAGATACAAAAGATCACCAACACTGTGTATGTGAACGAGAATGAAATCTAGATAGAATAGCCGACTGTTTAGATTTATGCAATAGTATTGGTGGAATTTTTGACAATTGACTTTATAATTTCCTCATGTTTCACTGTAACAGCAAAATAATTGAGTGTATTTAGTAGCTTGGCATTTTTAGAATGAATGAATAAATAAATAAATAAATAAATAAACAAATGACTGAAGCATGCTTTTTAGTTGTAAATACAATGCACCCGTTTCTTTCATTTTGGCCATCATCTTCACTGGCTTGGTGGCCGAGTGGCCAATGCAAACTATTAGGTCTACTTCTGATACAAAGTGCGGTAACACTTTATTTAAATAGTCCACTTTACATGCTTAATTTACTTTCCAGTTACATTGAACTAAATATCTACTCAATTGACCACAATTTTCTTTAATTCTAAACCCAAACCCAAAACCTAAACCCAGCTCTCACCCTGGTCCAAATCCTAACCCTAACCCCACTGCTGTTTAGAATCAACTGAGTTTCAACAGATAGTTTGGTAACTTGAACATTTGTAGATAATTTATAGGGGACTATAGAGGACTATCCAAATAAAGTGAGACCCAAAGTGCACCTACATGGTTGGTGTTTCTGATAAAATGGCCAAAAAGTGTAGACACAAAGTAGGTGGACCTCATAAAGTGGAATTTAGTGTCAACTGAATCTTTATCTCTCCTTTATCTGTACAGTGCTTCTGCATTACTACAAACAATGCTTGTTGTTTAGCAGAGTGTTACCCCTCATTTGCATGTCCCTTTAAAAAGCAGTTGCTATATATACATTTCTCAGTCTGCGAAGTTTAAATGAACGTCAGCCCTCCCAAATGATTTTAAAAACTGCGTTCACCCAATCAGGGACCCCCTTTCGCTCAACTGTATCGATATGTCACACGTTTTCTATACCTCCTCCTTCCTCCACACTGCTTTCAGCACTCTCACTGTCTTTTGCATGACTCAATGAATGAGTGAGTTTCATCTTTCGGAATGATGAGCAAGCTGGACAGGTGAGTGAAACCAAAAATCCCATAATACTGAGAAAACTGCTCCAAAAATGATGCAAAACATGCATGTGCATCCTATAGGACGGCCTGTCAAAAAGGACCTCTAGGAATTATTATTAATAAGTATGAATCAGTGTTTAAATTGTAACAAATTCATCTCTGAGGTGTCTGATGACAGTGATAACGCATTTCAAACTTTCTCTACTTTCAGTGATCGAGAATGAAACCGAGAGTGTTGGCTGTATAAACATGTGTGTGATTTATTTAGCGCTGCACGGTGCACTATTTTCTGCACACCTCCATGCGTTTGGACTGTCAAAAAAAGGGAAGCCGGTGCTTAGCGCCTTACTAAAGTCTAAGCCTAAGCTAGTAATACAGTGATATAGGAAATAATAGACTAAAGATGGAATTAGTAATGCAGCTGTGCAAATGAGTTTGTTATGGCATTTCCCACATGCATGACCGCAACAGACATTTAAAGTTGAAAGGCTGCAGCGGTAATGAAATTAAAGCCCCTTACTCACCATTTTCCCAATCGTAAAACTAAATGACTGAACATGGTTTCATTATTTATATGACTTGCTTTTTCTGATGCATCTGTGGACTTGCACCTGTTGAAAAAGGCTTAGAATGAACATCAAGTGTAATAATAGCGGTTTGCTTTACAGCACATGCATAAATAATAACTTACGTCATTACTTATGACTAATATTGTTCCTTATGGTTTTTTGGGTATTGCCTGTGCTATAGAGTTCTGCTCACCCAGAGGAAGTTTATCTATCACTATAAGAACGTACGCTGGGCACGAGGGAGGCACGAGACTTACCTTTGCTTCGTGGTGAAGAAGCGAAACGGCCCGGACTCGCTCTCCTTCGACTTCGGGCACCTGCGCAATCGCAACGGATGCCACGTGGAGGTGAGTGATGGATGGACGGACGCTACAGGAGAAGGAAGCGCGGCGTGGATGACGTCAACGTCATTGCAATATTAAAACTATGGGATGGCCAGAAATCAATTAAACGCTGTTTATGTCTTATTTCAGATGCAGCCGATCAGCCAAGATGTGGCGTCTAAGGTTTGTTTCTTTAGGTTTTGCACTGGAGCCACAAGGCCAGCTAAACAAGTAATAAAAGCTTGTAGTCCCAATTGGCATCATTCTAATCGCACACCTAAACCGTCACATGTGTGAAGTTGTTAACAGACTTGCTTGTGTAGTTTCTGACTCTGTATGACATACTGATATGTAAGCATGGGCAAAGGTATGCAGCACAGCTAAAACCGCGTCCACGCTTGTAAATAACAGTGTGTCATGCAGATACCACAGGTACCACATAGGCAGGGCTATTTGAGATTACTGAACAACTCCACAAGCTTGTGATGATGTATGCATGCGGTTAGCTTGTTGCTAATTGGTGGGGTATAAGCTTGTTAGTGGAGGTGGGTAATCCAGCTCCAAAAAGTAAAAACCCTCCACAGGATTTTGTTTGTTTGAGCAAATTGGTGAAGTCAAGCAGTTGGAACAAAATCCTGGGGAGGGTTTTTTACTTTTTGGACCTGGATTACCCACCTCTACTTGTTGGTAACATTAGCTTTTTAGCTCCAATGCAAAACTAAAGAAGCAAAATTCGCACGCCAAATGTGTCTTGGCTGATTGACCACACCAGGGGTAAGGCTGATTCTTGGCCATACCATCAATAGTGGTTGGTATAGTGTAGTGGGTAACACCTCTGCCTTCTATGTTGTAGACTGGGGTTCAATCCCCCATCTGGGCAAGCACCAATAAGACACTATACCAATAAGAGTCCTTGGGCAAGACTCCTAACACTACCTTCACCCACCTGTGTAAAACGATCAAATTGTAAGTTGCTCTGGATAAGGGCGTCTGCCGTAAATTTAAGGAAAAAAACCCTCTTTATTTGTGTGTTTTTCATCTCACCTTTTCCTTCCCGTCAGCTTGTCTTCCTGCGCTACATCGGGGTTCTGTGCCCAGGCCTGTGGGGTTCGGGTGTGGACGGAGTGAGGGCGAGCTACGCCGTGACCTGGTTCTGCTCGTGGTCGCCCTGCTCTAACTGCGCCCAGCGCCTGACCAACTTCCTGTCCCGGACGCCCAACCTGCGGCTCCGCATCTTCGTCGCCCGCCTCTATTTTTGCGACGAGGAGGACAGTCTGGAAAGAGAGGGGCTTCGGCACCTACTGAGGGCAGGGGTGCAAGTAACTGTCATGACCTATAAAGGTATAAAAGACAGAAAGGTTAATACATCAGCTCTGGTCATCAATGCCTGTTTCATATGATGTTTATGGAGGACAGAAAGGCATTTTATGTTTAAGGTGCTGAAAGGTTAAAGTCAAACTGAGATCGAAATGACCCACCATTACACCAGTGCAGTCATTCATTCATTATTTTACCACGTAGAGTAAAAATAGTATGTGGTTTGGTCGCAGTTCCTGTTCCTGGTAGTTTACGTTCCTAGTCATATTAAGCACTAGTTATCATTTCATTTAAAAAATAACGTTCTTGTTCTCCCTTAAGCTTTAATCAAAATGCAACGGAGTCTGCCCTGCCCTAAAACATCTTCTGATTTTTGTTTACGTCCGCAGGTGGGGAAAAAGTAATGAAAATTGTTAACTACCAATACCATGTTTCATCTCCCCCTCCTACCACCATCTATCATTGAGAGAAAGAGCTCAGCTAGCTCAGATACTGTGTTTCTCTCAAGTACATCACGTTATGGAAGGAAATTAATTATGATTGCCCCATTTGTTAACCCTGCATTTACATTGGCAATCCAATTACTAGCAATTATGCTATTGTGTGATAACGTATGCAACGTCACTTCCTCTCAAAACATGCCGCCCACTAAAAAGACCCTCCCGACACCCCACGAACAAAGTCTGATTGACCGGAAAATGCAGTTGCAAAACATTTTAATTTCGCCAGAGCCAGGATGCGACGATGAGGAAATGCAATCGCAAATGTGCGATTTTTTTTCCCCGATTTTAATATATCGGAGCCAGACCGCTAAGAAAATGAAATGCCAAAAGGACTTTGTGTTCCAGATTAACTATTTCCAGCCACAGAAATATACACAGAAATGCAAATACACATTTTGCATATGAATTTGAATTATGTCTTAAATACTGCACACTTACATTGGAAATTCAATTGTAAATAACCAATTTTCATTAACATTTTCTCATTTTTGAATCTGAAAGAAGTCTGGAATATGCTGCCTTAGAATACATCATACTAAATACTAAACACTATGCCAAATAATTTTCCACTTTACTGGGGTCTCTCAAATGGCCCGACTGTGTACGCATTGGTTCTATCACTGGGAGATCACAAGTTCAGTCACTGGCAATGTCCAGGAGTCCAAGAGAGCATAACTGTCCTCTCTCTTTGGGTGGGTATGATGGTCCTCTTGCTCCCCCCCATCATTTAGTGCAATGATAGCCAACGCAGGGGTAACAGAATTAGCAGTTCAGCTGTCCAACGACATTGTGTTAGCGGCAGTTTGAAAAGCTGTGGTGGAGCTTCGTGGAGGGGGAAGCACATGCTGGCCTTGACCCTCCCAGCTTGGTAGCATTGTGTGATGGGGGAGAAATAGCAAGCAGGTGGAACTGACCATGACAAAAATTGGGGTGAAAAGCATGTTTTTCCCCAAAAAATGTGTACAATATGGATATTTTGGACAATTTATATGTCTTCATGAAATTATCACTAGTGGATAGATGGCACTGTTAATGCTAACTGCTATAATGCGGAAAGACATGACATTACAGCTGCACAACTGCTCAGTTCTACACAGCTGCAGAGTGCTTTAGCAATCCTGATGGTAGCACCCTAAGCACCTCCTTTTACATCCCTACATCCCTGTACTCAGCTGAACTGAACTGGGGGGCTGAAGATCCTACTGGAGGTTGCAAGTCTGTAAACGAGTGTTCCCATGTTCTTTCTCCACAGACTTTTTCTACTGCTGGCAGACGTTTGTGGCTCGCAGGGAGAGGTGTTTTAAAGCCTGGGAGGGCCTTCGGCAGAACTCCGTCAGACTGTCCCGCAAACTCAACCGCATCCTTCAGGTTTTTATCATCACACCTGTCATTCCACCTTTAATTATGACACATAACTGCATTCTAACAGTGCAAGAATGTGACGCTATTCGTAACATACCCACTGTGCTCTGCTCCACAGCCTTGTCAGACTGAAGATTTGAGGGACGTCTTCGCTCTGTTGGGTCTCTGAGGGAGGCTCTGAGATTCTGAAATGGGATGACGATTATGGTGCTGTGAAACTGAATTCCTGAGACTTGAATTTTACTCACTTGTATTCTAAGTATAGCATTACTCCTTTGTACATTCTTTTTTTGGGCACTGTGTCCAGTTATTTGTCAAAAACTACAATAAACATTTGCTCTTTTGTGCCTACAAGTGCATTTTCACTTCATCCCTTAAGAAAAATGTACATTTAAGGAAACTTGAGGAAAATACATAAATTATTATGGAAGTACAGAACGTCAGCCTTGGAAACATAAACCATATAGGGAAATGTGCTGACCATCAATATTGGGACAAATGAATGGCAAGCGACTCTGACTGCTCAGGTACTCCATGTTCCCATAACAGTAAACAAATTTGCATTAGATATCTTGTTTTGGCAGGAAAACAAGCAGTTTTGGGCATTAGATTAAGAGCTCATACCTTGCAAGAAGTAATTTTCCTCACTTATTTAGAATAAAACAATTTTACGTACTATGCAAAGACAGCCCGTTTTGAATTAGCTGTTTTTGTGATGTCATAAAACCAAACCACTCACATATATCCACCTACTCAGCCAGTCAATCAATATATAACAAAATTAGCTAATTTCTCCACTCTGTCCTAAAGGTTTGCCTGTTTCTGCTGCTGGAAAAGAAATATATAGCTATTTAGCAGCTCATAACAATGAGGAAGTTTTACATAATCATGATTCGATATCTCCTTATGAGATCCTATCGGATAATTATGACTTGCTTTGTCATAATTATGACTTAGCATCTCATAATGATGAAGCTTGTAATATGAGACATTAAGCCATAATTATGAGAAACTTTCTCATTTTTATGAGACGCTAAGTCATTATTATGAGATAGCAAGTCATAACAATGAAATGCTTTGTCATAATGCTATGCCATTATTATTAGAAACGTTCTCATTATCATGAGATAGTAAGTCATAATTACAAGATGCTAAGTCATAACTGAGATACCAAATCATAAGACATTATTATGAGATGGTAAGTCATAATTATGAAAAGGTAAGTGATTATTATCAGATACCACGTCATAATTATGAGATACAAAGTCAGGTTTATGGAAATTATTTATCATTATTAAGTCTAACTAAATTGTGGAAACGGGCTTGCACAGGTTTGGTAACTTCTTCTGTCAGGTTGCTAACGTTCTTAGCTAGCCTTAGCTAATCTAGCTAGCTGGAAATATATATATATATATATATATATATATATAATATATATATATGTGTGTGTGTGTGTGTGTGTGTGTGTGTGTATGTATGTTTTCTGATAGAGCAGTAAAGTAAAATAAAAATAGTACGACTTTTTTTTTAAATAGTTTTTCTGGAAATATTACGGCTTTTTTCTCGAAATAATACGACTTTATTCTCGAAATATTACGTTTTTTTTCTCGAAATAATACGACTTTATTCTCGAAATATTACGACTTTTTTCTCAAAATATTACGACTTTTTTCTGGAAATATTACGACTTTTTCTGGAAATATTACGACTTTTTTACTCGAAATAATACGACTTTATTCTCGAAATAATACGACTTTATTCTCGAAATAATACGACTTTATTCTCGAAATATTATGGCTTTTTTTCTCGAAATAGTACGACTTTTTACTGGAAATATTACGACTTTTTTCTGGAAATAATACGACTTTACTCTCGAAATATTACGACTTTATTCTCGAAGCCTAAGTTACTATTTTTATTTCTATTAAAAGTGGCCCTAAAACGCCGTCGTAGTAAAGATTGCGGTTGATGCGGGGCCGTTTTGTGGTGCCTCGCTGAATCTGCTGCGCACATACGCGGTGTTTTACGGCGCCAACGGCTCCGGTAACGGCCGGGAGAATCCAGGCAGAACCGAACTAGCCGAAGGGGTTAATAACAAAGATGGCGGCCGAGGCGGAGTACGAGTCGGTTCTGTGTGTGAAGCCTGACGTCAGCGTGTATCGAATTCCACCGCGAGCGTCGAACCGCAGCGTCAGGTAACCGAGCAGCGGACACCGCCACCTTCACTCAGCGGCCTCCTGCTGCCCTGATCGGGCTGCTGCCTCCACCGAGCTCATAGTCGTGTCTTTAACCTTATCTAGACCCGGTTCTTCTGTTTGGGCCGTTACCGTGGCGTCCACTCTGCCCACGGGTGAGATTTGACCGCTAATCACGCGACTTAAGCCTAAAGATCCTCTGCATCACAGTCACAGCAGCAGATGGAGTGATCATGCGTTAGCACACAGTTAAAGGACAACTCCACCGATTTTTCTAAATTTCTGAATGATTCCGTATTTGAGTTGTAAACAGAGTCATTCGGAGTGGTTTGGTGTGAAACGGTTCAGATGTCTTTACAGTGGTGCTGACAGGAACCAGAGGTCGGCATGACTACAACACAGATACAGACATTTTATTTACTATCCAAACCCACCAGTGAACCTACACGAGTCTTCTCAGTGTTTATGTCATGTTAATGATGGTAAAATAGTGGATAATCAGATATATTAAGCTTTCTTTGGGGACTGTTTTGCCTTAGAACACCCTTCCTGTATCCTTCCACCATGAAATGATTAAAATAAACGGATTAAAATATGTTTTAGACCAAAAACCATATCACAAAACTACTGTAAAACTGTCTCAGTCATCAGGCAGTGAATTCATAACTATTTCATGTAGTAACTTTCTGTGAGGGAGCTTTTGGAGGTGTACGTCTGGTTCCTATCACCACCACTGTAACTCTAGAATAGACATTGTGTACATACAGAGCGTTGTAAGGTAAAGGAGTAGCCAAACATACCTTATTTTTTCAGATTTTCCACTGTTTTACCATCATCAACATTCCATATAGACACTCAGAAGACACATGCAGGTTCACTGGTGGTTTTGGGTAGTAAATAAAATGGCTGTATTTGTGTTGTAGACGTTGCGACCCCTGGTTCCTATCAGCACCACTGTGAACAATTCTGACTAGAACTGAGCATTTTGCACCAAACCACTCTGAATGACTTTGTTTGCATCCATTTAATTACATTTACACACATCCACCTGCTGAACTTACTCCAGCAGCCCGGCCCATTCACACTGAAGTTATAAGGAGTGTTTCAGCCTGGACTGCTTTACACAGGGCAGCTAATCAGAACAGAGATCATGTACATACATCAGTCTTAGAGGCACGGCCTGTTTAATTCTAAGGGAGAGGCTGGAAAACAGTCATGTATAAATCAGTTATGGCTATTATTTTTGTGCATAACCTCACACAAACGTTAGAAGCAGGCCTCATACAAGAAAACATAGGAAATATGTAGGATATGGGAGCTTTAATGCATCAGCTTTGAGAGGTTAATGTGCCTAGAGCTTAGCATGTTCTGACTATTGCATTTTATGAGTCACAACATTTCATCTGATGAAGAGTAAGCAAGATTTGCAGTGTTGGATACGAAGCTGAAGTTTGAACTTTCAGTTCCACCTTAAATCTTGCAGATATTACATCCTGACTCCTGAAGCGGGCGAAGGAAGCTATTCTGACTCCTGAAGCAGGCGAAGGAAGCTGACTTCAGAGTGGTGTTTTGAATTAACACCTACATATGTTGGAAAAGCTTTTACAGCTTTCTCTAATTTTTCTTTCCACCTTAAATGGTGCAGCAGTTACATTCCGGAGCCTCAGAATGTAACTGCTGCACCATTTAAGGTGGAACCGAGAGAAGCTGGAGCAGGAAAGTTAACTTCAACCTCATGTTTTGAATTAACACCTATATTTTTTGGAGAAGCTTCTACAGCTTGTTTCACAGTTAATTTGGAGAAGCTTTTACAGGTTATTCAAATTTTCCGTTCCACCTTAAGTGGTGCAGCAGCTTCTGATGCCAGAACTACTGCACCATTTGAGGTGGAACGAACTCTCAGGTGCCTGAAGGTAACTACCGCACCATTTACCGCAACAAACTCTCCGTTCCACCTCAGATACTGCTGCACCACTTAATTGCTGCACCATTTAAGGTGGAACTGAGAGTATAAGAATAAGAAGCTGGTGCAGCAGTCACAGGCGCCAGAACTGCTGCACTGGTTACATGTTGGTGCCTGAGAATTCGTTCCACCTTAAATTGTACAGCGGTTCCAGGCACCAGAATGTTTCTAATGCACCGTTTAAGGTGGAACGAAGAGTTCAAATAAGAAGCTGGCGTATATGAAACTTCAGGCTCGTGTTTTGAATTAACATCTATATTTTTGGAGAAGCTTCTACAGCTTGTTGTCCAGCTTATTTGTAGAATAATAAGCTTTTACAAACTCTCCATTCCACCTTAAATAGTGCAGCTGTTCTGGCGCCTGTAACTGCTGCACCGGCTTCTTATTTAAACTCTCCGTTCCACCTTAAATAGTGCAGCTGTTCTGTTGCCTGTAACTGCTGCACCAGGTTTCTTATTTAAACTCTCCGTTCCACCTTAAATGGTGCAGTGTTAACTTTCTGGTAACTTCTGCACCATTCTGGCGCCTGAGAGTTCGTTCCACCTTAAATAGTGCAGCCGTTCTGGCGCCTGTAACTGCTGCACCGGCTTCTTATTTAAACTCTCCGTTCCACCTTAAATAGTGCAGCCGTTCTGTTGCCTGTAACTGCTGCACCGGCTTCTTATTTAAACTCTCCGTTCCACCTTAAATGGTGCAGTGTTAACTTTATGGTAACTACTGCACCATTCTGGCGCCTGAGAGTTCGTTCCACCTTAAATAGTGCAGCAGCTTCTGCTGACAGAACTGCTGCACCATTTAAGATGGAATGAACTCTCGCGTGCCAGAAGGTATCTACCGCACCATTTAAGGTGGAACGGAGAGCTCGTTCCACCTAAAATAGGGCAGCCGTTCTGGCGCTTGTAACTGCTGCACCAGCTTCTTATTTGAAGTGTCCGTTCCACCTTAAATGGTGTAGTTCCCTTCTGGCGCTTGTAACTGCTGCACCAGCTTCTTATTCGAACCTTCCGTTCCACCTTAAATGGTGCAGCAGTTACAGGCGCCAGAAGGGAACTACACCATTTAAGGTGGAACGGAGACTTCAAATAAGAAGCTGGTGCAGCAGTTCCAGGCGCCAGAATATTACTGATGCACCATTTAAGGTGGAACGAAGAGTTCAAATAAGAAGCTGGTGCAGCAGTTCCAGGCGCCAGAATATTACTGCTGCACCATTTAAGGTGGAACGGAGAGTTCAAATAAGAAGCTGGTGCAGCAGTTCCAGGCGCCAGAATATCACTGATGCACCATTTAAGGTGGAACGGAGAGTTCAAATAAGAAGCTGGTGCAGCAGTTCCAGGCACCAGAATATTACTGATGCACCATTTAAGGTGGAACGGAGAGTTCAAATAAGAAGCTGGCGAACGGGAAACTTCAGCCTCGTGTTTTGAATGAACACCTACACTTTTCGAGAAGCTTTTACGGGGCTCGTTCGTGTCCAGCTGGACTTATTAACAGTAAACACGTCCTGTGTCCGTTCGGCACTGAGGGTTTCTGCTGTGTAGGCTGGCTGTCAAACGCCTCGTTTCTCAGCTGCATCACTTCTCATCAGCAGAGGTGCTCGGTGGCCTTAAAGGCAGATGAAACGGTTTCACCGCGTCACAGCGACTGTAAACAGCTGATACGTCTGGCCTCGCGTGCGTGCGCGTGTTTAGGCGCGAGGGCTTTGTGACATTGCTTGTTTAGTTTTTCCTTAATACGGTGACGTGTGTGAGTTTCCGGACGGTGAGTGGACGGCCTGTTTGTTTGTGCCCGTTTCTGGGAGATGATTGGTTTATCCGCCGTCGCGTGGGAGAAGAAGCGCATCTCATAGCACATTTCGTCATTTCACGAGCTGAGTGGAGCTGACTAATAAGGAACAGCGCGGCAGAGTCGCCCTCAGAAACCCGGAGCACCACGTCTCTCTTTACAGTAAACCCTCAGGACATTGAACACACACACTCGGCTTCTCTTTCATTTCTGACCCTTACCTCATCATCTGGGCCTCTGACCCCAAAGCAAGGCCAGCAGAAGTTTTCCACATTTCCAAATACTCCCTATCTCTCTCTCTCTCTATTTCTCTCTCTCTCATTCATAATAGCTGTATTAGCCTCACTGTGAAGTACAGTATTGCTAAAGCATCAGAACAGTAACACAAATAATATGCATATTCATTATTCTAATTGCAATGTTGCAATATAATAATCATTGTAATTGTGATCATACAAATTAATAAACAAAATACATGTTTCTAATTTTTAACATAAATACGTTTGGGAATGTTGGGGGTCAGTACAGTGGGGGTATGGACAGTGGGGGTCTAACTCTTGCTCTCACTCTCTCTCCATATATATATATATATATATATATATATATATATATATCACTGTTGTCAGAAGAAAATCTTGTATCTCCCAAAATGGTAAAGGAAAAAACCTACTTTATTTTTAATGTAAGTCAATGGAACCAGAATTTTTACCAAGTCGTTTTGGGCCATTTTTTCTGGTCCGTTCTTCATGAAATTTACACACAATGTGTATATGAGAGAGAGAGAGAGAGAGAGAGAGAGGTTTGTTTGTATTGTCGCTGTCAACTTATTTTCACTTGCTCTTTACATTGTGTGTTAATTTCATGATGAATGGACCTAAAGAAACGGCCCAAAATGACTTGGAAAAAAGTCTGGTTCCATTGACTTACATTAAAAGTAGAGCGTGTTTTTGCTCCTCCTGTAAAGTTACCACGTTACCATACGAGGTTTTCTTCCAACAACAGCGATATGTAAATCATATTAATGAAGGCTGGTCTCTGACTTTGGCACGGCTTTCTCACATCTGCATTATATATATATATATATATATATATATATATATATATATATATATATATATATATATGAGGAAAACAGATGAGTGAAGGATTTAAACAGTAGGATATTGAAAATATTTTTATGCATACAGTTTGTTTACATTTGAAATTTAACCTTTTATTTTGGCAACAAATTCTAGCATTCCAAGTTTAATGACAAACTTCAGTGCCAGAATTGATGGCCTCTTTCAGCCAGATGCATCTCTACTTGTTCTCTTACATCGTCTCAAGCTGCATATCATTAAATGCTCTACTGCGTTAAATCCATTCACTCAGCCTGCTGAAACTGATTCACTCTCCTGTCAGGGATACGACCATAACACAACACGTCTGCTAAATCCGGCCACGCCTACGCACATCCACATCCCTCTGATTGTTTGTTTACATGCTTGTATGTACATGTGTGCTGTGCAGGGCGGCAGACTGGAAGCTGGACGCTCCTGATTGGACGGGTCGGATGAGGGTGACGGCCAGGGGCAAGGTTGCCTACATTAAGCTAGAGGACAAGATTTCAGGTTAGAGAAGGAAAGTATTAAACACACCCACCAACCAGCAGCAGCTCACGAGCACGTCGCTGTCAGGATACAAGTGGAATAGCTGGCTTTCTTCTACCAATAGAGCTACTGCTCTGGCCGTGCTGACCTCTGAAGGGGCTTCATAGCTGACTCTAAATAAACACATGTAAGAGAGCCTGATACACAGTCAGTCTGAGGACTGTATCAGAGAACTTATACAGAGGAGAATTACCCCTCTGTAATGTCTTCCAGGTTTCTCAAACACTAGAGGGCGCTGCCGAGTGAGTCCAAAATGAACGGTTAAGCAAAATCATAGTTTATAAATGCTGAAACATTTTTAATGTAAAAGAATACATTCATTTCCTGAACACAGAACAGCGTAAAACACTTTAACACTGCTGTTATATTTTTAAGAGCTTTTAAACTCGAGTTATAGGAGTTTAAAACGGTGCCTCCTGTATGTTTATGACGTCAGTGAGTGCGAACAGCAATGAGCTGCTCCGCTCGCCAGCCAATCAGCACTCAGTAGCAGTAATGCCAGCATCCTGCTGCACAAAAACCTGTTTGCTGTAGAAAAAAGGAAACATACAGGTGAGATTTCTTTGTTTTTTTAGTGAAATCCATCCTTCTACTTTCTAAAATTAAAGGAAAGTTCTGAGCGAGTGATTAGAAACTATTTTAACTTTTCGTTTTAGCCGTTTAGTTATATTCACCCCCATTCATTGAGGACTCGCTCGCGGACGCCCTCTGTCGTTTTGCAGTCCTGTTTTTGACATAACGGGGGAAATAGGAAGAGGTCAGGCTCCTCATAAACCGGCTCTGACTGTATCATTATATTTACTTTGTGGTTTTACTGTTAGACGAGTTAGCCAGCTTGCTAACTGAGATGTTAGCTCCATGGCTAACTGCAGCTGCACACAAGCAGAGACATTGTAAAGAGGAGGAGACCGGTGCACTGGATGGAAAATGAATGGGAAAGTTCGTAACACTGAACGTGGTGTCTGTTTATGAGGAAAGTCCCACCTTTCAGTGAAATGAGCCAATTGGCTTGCTGGTTACACAGCTAGCAGACCCCAACCCCCCCATTGTGGTGGTATGAACAGTAGCCAAGCTAAAAATCACATTTTTTATGTACTATTTGATCCTAATGGTACAAACTATTGGGCGGCACGGTGTCGCAGTGGGTAGCGCTGTCGCCTCACAGCAAGGATGGCCTGGGTTCAATTCCCGGCCGGGTGACCAGGGTCATTTCTGTGTGGAGTTTGCCTGTTCTCCCTGTGTCTGCATGGGTTTCCTCCGGGTACTCCGGTTTCCTCCCACAGTCCAAAAACATGCAGTCAGGCCAATTGGACATGCTGAATTGCCCCTAGGTGTGAATGTGTATGTCTGCCCTGCGATGGACTGGCGACCTGTCCAGGGTGTATCCTGCCTTCCACCCAATGACAGCTGGGATAGGCTCTAGCACCCCACCGCGACCCAGAAGGATAAGCGGTTTAGATGATGGATGGATGGATGGATGGTACAAACTATCTATTCTCTTTTTGTCCGATTTGATTTCAAATATGTTTTTATAAGGTTAATGTAACGTTTACTTTCGGTTTTGTAGGTTTTTCCTTATTCAAACAGATAGTCTGGTCTTGTATGACTGAATATAACTGCTCAGGGCTTTTGCAAAGATGGCCGTTGATTGGAAACACTCTTCTGTAAGGCCTTTGACCTCACCACGCCGGTTATCTACACATTCTTGGTACGACTCAGTGTGCAGCACTATGCTAAGGCAGGTATATTGCTATCTGCTATAATTATATTTACTTTTGTGTTGTTACCAGCTGTGGTAGGCAAGTTAGCCCGCTGACCAACAACAATGTTAGCTCCTTGGCTAACCACAGCAGCACACAAGCCACCCCACTGCCACCAACCACACTAGTTATCTACACTCTTTTGGTGTGTGCAGCTCTATACTCCCACAAGTATATAATAATCTGACATAACTGTGTTTACATATGTGTTTTTACTGTCCATGGTTAGCGAGTTAGCCCGCTCGCTAACTGCACCGTCATGGAGGATTTGTTTTGTTGTCAGTGTTCAGGACTAGCCTCAGTCATGAGCATTTCGCAAGGCGTCAAGAACTGCAAAGCCTAGTCTGGTCTACTCTTTTCATTTATTTTTAATAACATTCACATTTATAACTGTAGAAATTCCACTCATGCGGTTTCCCTCTTGCCCTGTAGGGGAGCTGTTTGCCCAAGCCCCAGTGGAACAGTATCCCGGCGTAGCAGTAGAAACCGTCAGCGACTCGAGCCGCTACTTCGTTCTTCGGATTCAGGACGACAGCGGTGAGTTAGAGAGAATGAAAAATCTCTGTTACGGTTTTTTTAAATCAGGAACCTGAAATCACCCCCCCCACCTTCCGCCCCGCCCACCAATGTCTATTCTCAGGACGTAGTGCGTTCATTGGCGTCGGGTTCGGGGACCGGGGGGACGCTTTCGATTTCAATGTGGCTTTGCAGGATCACTTCAAGTATGTTTCATGTTCTCATTTCATTTCTTTATAGAGATATTAAGTCACAGCATGTGTCAAATATGAATGCAGTGTCGGTCTCATTCCGAAAACGATTCTCTCTCTCTCTCTCTCTCTCAGGTGGGTAAAGCAGGATAACGAGTTGAGTAAGCAGGCTCTGGCTCCAGACTTGGGCCCTAAATTAGACTTGGGCTTCAAAGAAGGCCAGACCATCACTCTTAACATTGGGGTAAATACTCTTTGCCATCTTAACCCATCTTACATTGCTGTTTATTGAATAGTAGTCTTTTAATTTGGAACAGCAAAGCCAAAGCAGTCTAAGGACCTTTTTCATAGAAAAACATTTCCCTGCTGTGATGTTGTGCAGTTAGAAGATAAAAGTTTTAAAATGTACCATTGACTCTCCGGCCCATTCGGACCAGATATGGAAGCTAAACTTTTGTTCGTTTTGAATTCATCATGGTTGTGGTGTCATAACTAGGGCTGTGGCATGGTGCCTTACCACTAAGATGTGCAAGACCACTGCCAGAGACCCCAGGGTTGGGGGTGGTAGTATGCAGGCAAAACTTTGAGACTTGTTTACCACTTTGATATTATAAAAACTTCAGGCCTACATTTTTGTCCCAGGTGAACTTAGTCGAACTAAGTCAAACACTGGCTAGCCAACTGCATGCTGGGTATCAATGAATATAAAATAATAACAGCGCACTTTAGGATAGCATAAGCTTGTTTTATACCACAAGTGCTGCATCGCCTTTGTTTTTTTCACACCAGTCGCAAGTGACGGCCGTCGAGTTTGGACATAAAGAAAAATATGTCCGGTGGCCGTCACTGTGGTCGGCATTCTGCCTTTGAAGTGTTGTGGCGATCGTTGCACCCCTAGTCATAACCATGTCCATGTGTACATATGACCGTGATTCAGCCTACAGCTGTTTGACCCCACCCATTCTGCCAGCTGTAGTTTATCACCACCCATTAAGTCTACAGCAGCTTTGCCATCCATCCTAATTTAGTGAACCGCAGTTTAGCCCCGCCCATTCAGCCAACGGCAGATTAGCCCCACCCATTCAGCCGACAGCAGCTAAACCCCAACCATTGAGCCAACTGCATTTTAGCCCCGCCCATTCAGTATATAGCACTTTAGCCCCGCCCATTCAGCCGACAGCAGTTTAGCCCCACCCATTAAGACTGCATCAGTTTAGCCCTGTCCATTCAGCCTACAGCACTTTAGCCCCGCCCATTCAGCCAAAAGCAGCTAAACCCCAACCATTGAGCTAACTACATTTTAGCCCTGTCCATTCAGCATACAGCACTTTAGCCCCGCCCATTCTGCCTACAGCACTTTAGCCCCGCCCATTCTGCCTACAGCAGTTTAGCCCCACCCATTCAGCCTACAATAGTTTAGCCCCACTTGTTTAGCCTATAGCGGTTTAGCCCTGCTTGTTCAGCCTATAGCAGTTTAGTCCCACCTATTGAGTCTACAACAGTTTAGCCCCGCCCATCCAGCCTACAGCAGTTCAGCCCTGCCCATTCTGACTCAAGTGATGTAGAGTGTTTTTCCTGAGTTTTTGGAGTGGAAGGTGTGAGATAACGATGAAACGTTGTGCTGTTCCTGGCTGTCAGGAAGCCAGTGGAAACTCTCAAACATCAAATATCAGAATTTCGAAGGGAATTTCTGTTTTATTTTCAGCAAAGCAAAAGAAAAGAAAAGTCCCGTCCCCAAAGTTCAGGTGGGCTTGGACTCCTTCCACCTCCTCCCGGTGGCAAGATAGCTCCGCCACCTTCAGCTACATCTACCAATCACAGCACAGAGCCATTGACTGGAGGCAGTGACACAGGTAAACCTGGGATTATTGTTGAATTTCTCAGTGATAGTAAAATAAAAGACGGTGTAGCATGGTCTGATGTTGTTCACAGACACCATATTTGACGTAAGGATCTCCACATGTTCTCTACTGACCGGTGTTCATTTCTCGGCTTCTGTCCTCAGGTTGTTTGTTAGACTTCGACAGCAATAACTCGGACAGTCAGGTCCGGCCCACTGCTCCCACTACAAACACGGACCTGTGGGGGGATTTTACATCTGACAGGTAAAGCGTGGGACTACGAAAGAACTTAAAACAGCAATGCCGTTCGTTTGTATGGGTCACTTAGATTTAAAACCAGGTGCTTTAATCCAACTGTATTGCATTTATACCAGAACAATATGACAAATAGTAGCAACAAACAGTAAAGGCAGTACAAATAGTGCAACACTGGACAGACAGTGTTATGTGTGCAGTGTGCTAATGCCAAAATATCTGATGGTTCTTGTTACCACATTGGCGTTGTAGCTAAAGTTTCTGCATGTTAACAATATTGTTGTTGGAACGTGTTTAAAACATTTTTTTTGCCATTTTCCTTAAGCATCCAGAATACAAGCTCTTTCTCCCAACATGCCATGGCTCATAAACTGTGCTGTGCTGTATTTATTCTGCTGATAGAAGACACTAATAATCTTTCATTAAAATGTCTTTAGTCAGTTTGTGGTGAGTGAAAAGGACACGTTCGTCGGGTCAAGTCTTTGTACTGTCAGCTAAAATGTTATATAAATGTTTAACTTGTATCATAAATGCTGTAATTGCAGCGTTGGTTTGGACGTGAATGAATTGCAAATAGGGGATTGGAAACGTTTTTGTCGCCCCCTGGTGGTTGATGTCGGCTTAACACTGAATTAAATTTGAAGTCAAGGCAGTCAGCATTGGTCAGCTGAGGACAGGCCTTCCCATGACTCTTACTTCTACATAATTCAGTCACTCAGAAGTAAACAGAGTCATTCAGAGTGGTTTGGTGTGAAATGGTTTAGATGTCTTTACAGTGGTGGTGATAGGAACCAGGGGTCGCCATGACTACAACACAAATATAGACATTTTATTTACTATCCAGAACCACCAGTGAACCTACATGAGTCTTCTGAGTTTCATATGGAATGGTGATGATGGGAAAATAGTGATAAATCTGATAAAATAAGGCATCTTTGGGGTTTTGACCTACAGTGCCCTGCATATACCTCTCCACCATAAATTTATTTAGGCCAAAACAATATTGCAAACACTTATCGTACAACAGTGTCTCAGACATTAGTCAGCGTGTTCACAAATATTTCATGTAATAACTTTCTGTGAGGGAGCTTTTAGAGGTGGACGTCTGGTTCCTATCACCACCACTGTGAACAGTTCTGACTCTAAGTTTATCTAGAACAGAGTATTTCACACCAAACCACTCTGAATGACCCTGTTTACACCTTGACCACTTAATTAAGCAGGAATTTTGGAAAAAGTGGTGGAATTTTTCTTTATATGCCGTGGACTCCCCATAGTGATTCTCTCTCTTTCTTTCTCTCTTTTAGTTTGTCATCTCAGCCGGCGAAGCAGGAGTCTTCCTCCACCGACTGGGTCCAGTTTTGAGTGTGATTACATTCCTCTGTTTCACCATAGTTAGCTGTCACATACTGAAGCCCACAGTTAAAGGGATGTATTGGCTAAAACTGTATGAAATGCTGTTTTCTGTTAAAATGGACAGAAGCTGATTAGTTGCTAAATTAGCTTCAAGCTGTGTGTTGTTTTTCAGTTTTTCAGTGTTTCTCCAATAAACCTGCTTATGAAAACGTTTTTCCACTGCGCAAAATACCAGAACATTTAGCAGCAGAAAACTGGGGCTGAGCTTTTGCTATTGTTTGTTGATCCAGTGCAGAAGGTTCCAGTTTTATGGTTTTTGGTACCTGCTCAAGACTGGCACAGCAAGGAACCCAGACAGCATATATTGGTCCACTGGCTTGATAAGGTCAGGGCTGTTTGCCACTGCTGGTCCACCCTCGGACCACCCAGATTAATGTCCTGCATACAAGCTCTACCTAGTTTTTAATCTCCCCAAACAGATTTAAAATCCACAGAGACTTTTAATTTATTTTTTCTGAAGCTGACAACAAATTAGAAAATTCTTTACTCTTCCAGCTGAAGTCGAAGCTACCAATCACTATTACATCACCAATAAGTGCCAGTTGGTGTGTTGATTGCTATTTTTGGACATATTTCTATGTAGAGAGTTCACTGAGGTAAGTTGGATAGGAAGCTAACTTTAATCCCGGATCGCAAGAGGCTAGCAAGCCACTGTCGGCCTGCTGATGGCAAAGCTCAGCGTTTTCCATGCGGCCCACCGGTGGTTAAGCAGAGCATTAGACACGATGCCACTTTTCATCGCTAATTTTCCACACCCAGTCCAATTTCCTTGTTCTTCCTGCATTTCCTTCATCCACCATCCCTTGTAAATTATAGTTTAGTAAATCATTTTAACAGTAATATCATAAATAAAGCTGGTTATAGAGCTGTAGCAGAGTGTCAGGAACATTTTCAACAAAATCATTTTATATTAGGCTTTCACATTTTTTTTTCTCTCTGTCATAATTGTCTTGGTTTATTTTCCAAAATAAAAGTCTGTGCACATTTAATATCTATTGGAGGAGTTTAAAAACTAGTTAGACCTTGTGTGCTGCACAAATATCTGGGTGGTCTGAGGATGGAGCAGCAGTGGTATTCAGTCAGCAGGGCATCAACCTTATCAAGCCAGTGGACCAATACATGTTTGCTATCTGGGATGCTGTTAGCATTTATGCTATCCTCCACAGATTCAGCATTTTTGCTCATATTTTCACACCCTGACAGAGAAAAATGGAGGATTTGCTTGATTCTACACATGATTATGTGCAATTGTAGTGTTGTTTGTGAGAGCGAGTGCAGAACAGTGCATCGTTTCACGTTAGCCAATAACTTAAGCCAACTAGCAAGCAACATTAGCCAAATAAGATGCTTTAGAGCTGCATGAAGCGACCAAAACAAAAAGAAAATCATTAATCATGGTTATTTCGATCTTTCAAGCAGGTGGAAAGTGAACTAGAACTAGAACTAGAACCGTGAGTTCTATTGGTTCCCATTTGGCTCAGGTCCTGTTTGTGAGCGTGTAATGGAAAAACACTCATACCACTGTATTCAACTATGTGACGTACTTGTCCAGTTTTATAGATGACAGTGGACCATAAAGTGTCAGAAACCACATAAGTAGCTGGACTCAGCTGGACTTGATTTCAGATTGACTCTACATTTGATTTTGGTCAGATTATTGCTTGAAATTTAAGCCCATTTCTCTCTCCTTCGCACACATTCAGTCTTTCTCTGTTTTCTGGGTTGTATGTTTTATGTTCAATTACAAGTCAGTGTAGTAAATGTGAAAAAATGTATTTATATGACTTAAAAAGGGATATAATATATAGATTATGTGTATATTTGTAAATCTATGTACTTTAACAGAAATGAGTTGATGTAGTTAGTCACAGCAACTTTCTTTTCTAATAGTCACACAAATTCTGCTGTTTCTTTCAAAGTTATGACGCCCTCTAGTGGTGAAAATGTGCAGTACTGTATTTGAACATGTGTTTGTGGTAAAACGCAGCTTCCATAATAAGAGCTGAGCTGTTTCCTGACTGTATGCAATCAGTCCTGTTAGCTGAGAACCAAGTCAGGCACTTATTAATGTTTTAAAGCACTGGAAAAGGTTCATAGTGTTATTGTTATATGTGTCACTCTACCGTTTAAAAGTTTGGAATCACTTATCATAGTAATCATTTTTGTTGTTTTAGAAAGAGTAATAACTTATATAACAATGCAAACGAAACACCAAATATTTAATTTAGTTAAATTTATTTTTATTAATATTTCAAGAGTTTGCAGGAAAACCAGGAAGATATTAAATTATGAATAATAAACCGTAATTATTTCTCTATTATATTAGAGTTTTCTGCCTTTGTATTTCACAACTTCTGAAGCACAAAGTATTCTGGATATTAATTTTATTAGAATTCGTTCTGAATGTTCAGTTTATTAGAACTTTTTAGTTCATTCTTGATGTTATTTTTATTAGAACTTCATTAGAAATTTGGATTTTTAATCATTTTGTTCTGGATGTTCATTTTATTAGGATTCTATTCCAGATGTTAATTGAAACTTAATGCTGGATATTATTTTTGTTAGAACTTCATGCAGCTTTTCAGTCAGTTTAGAATCATCTATAGCTCTTATTATTATTCTGGACACAACTCAAAACTGAAAACTGTAACTGAGGTCATTCAGAACGAACGATTACAATGATTTTATACATTTATCTGTAAACCAATTACTTCTGTATAATTGAAAATGGTGATTCTAAATATTTGAACTGTAGTGCTCGTCTGTCTTCCATGAGGTCAGAGTTATGATGGCTTGCAGTGGCGATCTTGACTTTTTAGTGTCTCCAAATTTCATAACAAACGTGCGTCATGTGCAGGTAGTGTTTTACCTTGTGTTATGTGTCATTTTATGTGTCTAACTGTGACTTCAATAATATTTATTTCTTGCCGCGGTGGAATTTGTGTTGTTTTATCAGTGTCATTTTTTCAGATTTTGATTTCATTAATTTTTTTGTTTTATTTTGTGTTTGTGTTTGCCCTCCTCCCTCGTCTTCTGTTGTGTGTTCATTCTTGCTGTATGTAAAGAAAATCTAAATGTGTGCATAGTGTATATGTGTATGTTCAACAAATATGTGTAATGACAAATAAAACATTCATAAAGTGAAGAAAAAACTAAATTCATGAAAGTTTTTTTTTGCTTGAGAGGCCTGTCCACAAAATACAACCATTACAAAACTAAATCTTATCATGTATTATACACAATATATACTCATGTTGTTAAGTCACATTATTAGGGACATCTAAATAGTATTTACACTCATTGTCCCATTTATCGGGTTCACTTGCCATGAAGGTTCATGTTGTAGTTTTACAATTACAAAACTGTAAAATTCTGAAACAAATGTTGGTGCAGTTTGTGAAATCTCTGGGCCAAAAACCGCAAATGAATGCCTGTGGCTTTCAACCCCTCAGATGCCACCACATTAAAAAATCCAGCATGCTTTTGTGATGGATATCACTGCCTGGACGACTGATTAACAAACCGTTGTCAGTAAAAGTCATATGTCGTTGCATCCACAAATGCAGGTTAAGACTGAACTATGTGGTCAACAGCATCCAGAAACGCCGCTGACTTCTCTGGGCTCGGGCTCATCTGAAATGGACTGATGCTCAGTGGAAACCTGTATTGTGGTCTGAAGAGATTGTTTGTGGAAATATTGGACAAAAGAGGAAAAGGACCATCCAAATTATTACCAGCGTAAAGTTCAAAAGCCTTGCTTTGTCATGGTTTGGGAGGGGGGTATTAGTAGGTAACCTGCACAAATATAAAGGCAGCATTAACACTGAAAGATCAATAACCTTCTATGCGCCATCTTTTTCAGGGATGTTCAAGCTTATTTCAAATGACAAAAAGACCCCAACATTTTTACAAATTTTGTAAAAATAAAATTTTTGAGTCATGGTTTTATATATATATATATATATATATGTGTATATATATATATATATATAAAACCATGACTCAAAACATTTTATTTGTACTAAATTTGTGAAAGGACTACTGACCTTGCCATTACAACATGAAGGCCACTTGGGGTCTTTTTTATGATGCAAAGGCATGTCAAAATAAAAGCCCTTTGTTTTGGTTGTGCCGCCTGACATTTAAAGAACTAAGAACTTGCGGACAAAAGTTTTTCAGTGAGTTGAGCACTTTTGAAGTTGCCTTATGTTCCAACATGGTTTTTATTTGAAAGTTTTCAGACATTAAATCATGTCAAACTATTTTATTTGGAATTTTATATAACCAAATGACCTTTTTTGATCAACAAACATGTATAGTTCGACAGTTGCACCACCTGACATTTTTAGACTTTTGGTGGCAAAAAGCTAATATTTTTCATGTAATAAATCTTTTTTTTTTAGGAATAAAATTTGATATAAACTGAAAGTCTAATAGTATGATTATTTTAAACGCCGTATTATGGCAGTGTATGAGCTGTGTTTTGTATTGTTTATTTTGTGGGTGGAGTCAGTAGTATAAAACAAAAGCACAGTGTAATATGCCTTTAAATAGTTCATGGAATAGATGCAGTATTTGTTTTTATCATTGTGCATGTAAAGGTGCACAATGAGTGTAGATACAAAGTGGGTGGACCGAATAACCTGGACAGTGAGTGTGTAAATCATAAAAGTAATCAATGTAACAATCATAATAAACGTTTTTATTTGCTACGTTGACTGATATGAAAGGATAACACAGTATTGAAATACTTATAACATGATTTAAGTGCCGCGGATAACATGAACATGTTCAGTAAACTGACCAAGTCAAATTCACGAAAGAAGATACAGGATAGTTATGAAGAATATGAACAGTACTGTTTGTGGTAATTCACAGAGTTGGTTTGATAATAAGAAAAAGTGCTCACTTGCATAAAACACCTCAAGTATTAATCTTAAGTTACATGCCTAAGAAATGAATTCAAACTACAAATTAGAATTAAAAGAGATGGAACTTAAAATGCTTAAAAATATGGATTTTCTACTTAAGAGATGCTGTGCAGCTCATTTAAAATAAAGGGAAACTGAAGGCCAAAATTCACTTAAGATGTTTTTATAAGTGACCCCTGTTCGTCAGACAGAATAAATACTCCAGCGTTTTTCAGTTTAGTCTCCATCTGCTGCACCTCCATTTAGAAAAGAACACAAATCTTGTTGAGACAAAGTACATTTATCAAAGAAGTCAGCGAGCAGTGGCCGAGTTCCATAAACAGTTATGTGAAATATGTATTTTTGCAGAACATTTTCATAAATTCCTCAGTCAGGTGTTTGTAAATTTGGCAACTTGTCAATCTGTACAATTCTTTCTTTTAGAGGTGGGTCTAGTTTTCTAGAGGGAAGAATTTGATATTTCATTACAAGTGAAATAATGTTAGCGTGCTCGGCTAAAGCGTTTGGGAACCTGAAACTGAAACTGTGGAGCGGCGACTCTGTTAACAGCACGAAGTGCTGACACAATATTCTTCACTCTCAGTTTATCACGCTTTAGTTTGATTTGAGTTTTTACCTCAGTAACGGCAGCTAATGTTAGCTGGCTAACTAAATTCATTATTTTAATTACGTGTTTACATTTCACCTATGCGCGTAGGGTCGGTTGCTAGGTAACAGACACGACAGTTGATTGTTGACTTCGATCAAGCAGGTGAAGATTTCCTAACTTGAGATAAGAAAAGATGCTGTAAGATTCCTTTTCCTTGTAAAGATGCTATAAGATTCCTAAATTAAGATCAGATTTGCTTCTGTAATACGAATTTGTGAAAAATCTTATCTTGACCTGTCAGATCTTCGGACAAAAAGATAGGAAGTTTCTGTAATACGGATCCAGATTAAAGGTTTTACAGAATTCCAAGATGCGAAATGGAGCCAGGCGTCATAGTTGACTTACAGCTATCAACAAACAGACTTTATGGGATCCTGATAGTTTCCACATCTCCATTTGCAGCAGTCATTTTGTGTCAGGTAGGTTGAAAAAAGTCAAGTAATTCTCTATCTGAGAATAGAAATTGTATCTAATTCCCCAGGTGCATTAGTTTAGCTTGTTAGATAAGCTATTTAGGTTCTAGCTACATTAGTTTGCTCTAGGTTAGCTCACTATAAGTAATAGTAGTGCTAATAATATGTACAAGTACAGCTATACTGGAGCATTTTGCTCTTAAGATGACAAGTTCACACATATTTGACTCAGATTAATACAGAACAGGCAGGGTATTGATAATAGTAGTGTTAATAACATGCAGCCTAATAATAAGCTATAGACTTGAGCATTTTGATCACAGTGTTAGCTAACGCTGGCTAAATAGATGAAAATATTGGCCAGCTTAGCCTACCTGATGATTCAGCCAATCAAAATAAGTGATGTCTGGGTATTCTGTTCTCTGGCTATTCATTTTTCCACACTGACTTTGGGATGGAAAAGTGACACTGAGGGAGTCAAATCATATTTAGTTTCTCTATATATCTGGGCCTTCATCAGGTGGAAGGATATTAAAATAGGCTGGTGTTCACATTTTATGTTAAAGCTGATTAAAGTTGCAGTGTCCCACCATTTTTTTATTTGCTCCCTTTTAAAGCTAGCAGAATGTTTTCTCCCATGAGAGACATGGTTTCCCCCGATGATGCAATTCACTCTGTCTTTATGGATACTGGAAAACCTCAGGCTGGCTTTACAGTGAAACTTTCATTCAACTAGTTGCATGTTATGACTTTGTACGGTGAAAGTTTCATTCAGCTAGTTGCATGTTGTGAGTTTGCACAGTGAAACTTTCATGCCACTATTTGCATGTTGTGGGTTTGCATGGTGAAACGTTCATACTACTAGTTGCATGTTGTGAGTTAGCATGGTGAAACTTCCATTCAACTAGTTGCATATTGTGAGTTTGCATGGTGAACCATTCATACCACTAGTTGTATGTTGTGAGTTTGCACGGTGAAATTTTCATGCAACTAGTTGCATGTTGTGAGTTTGCACAGTGAAACTTTCATTCAACTAGTTGCATGTTGTGAGTTTGCACAGTGACACTTTCATGCAAGCATGTTGTGAGTTTGTACAGTGAAACTTTCATATCACTAGTTGCATGTTGTGAGTTTGCATGGTGAAACTTTCATGCAACTAATTGCATGTTGTGAATTTGCATGGTGAAACTTTCTTGCCACTAGTTGCATGTTGTGAGTTTGCATGGTGAAGCTGATGTAAGTTGCCTGTAACATAAATTCCATGAAACAAACCTAGTTTCACAAAGATGACATGGTTACAACTCCTGCGGGTATGTTTCAAGTGAGTTGCGGGATGCTTTACATTATGCATTACATTAACTTAAGTGCAGTAAAATGTCATGTAAGTTTCAAGCAACTAAAGTTTCACTGTGTAAAGCCAGCCTTAGGGAAAGTGAAAGTACCTGGAACATGGAGTGTCTAACCCAGTGTTGGAAAGCAGTTTTACACTTAGAGTGGAAAAGCTGGAGCCTCAGATTTATGTCATAAAGTCACACATTTCAAATGTTTATTCACAGAATTCAGCAACCGCCCTTTGACTTCTACTGTAAGAGAGTTCTGAGTCGGGTTTGGTTCTTTGCTAAGTACGACGCAGGGGCAGCATGTGGAGTATTCCTTTACGTCCAGCACTACATTGGAATGCCAGTGATGTTTCACCATTTAGTCTTAGTTCAGGCTTTGACTTAAACTGGGTCTGGGAAACAGGCCCTAAGAAATGTACTATTTAAATGTATAGTTATTTTAAAGTTTGTTTAAAAGAGTGTTCCGTCTTCTCCTACTTATCTTTTCTTACCTTCTGCCTCGCGCATCCATGTCTCAGTTATTCTATCTATCTATCAAGCTATATATCTATATTTCTATATGTGTATCTATAAGTATAAAATCTCTCGTTCTTGGTCTTTCTTTGCAACCGTCTCTCTCTCCATCTCTGTCTCTCTCTCTCTCTCTTTGCTTTAGTCCTTGCTCGCCCATGTTCTATTTTTTCCATGGCAACAGCGCTTCTTGGTCGACCTCTCAACTCGTTTGGGCCACCCAGACTTCTCTCTGCACAGCTCCGCTGAAGGAGAGAAAGAGAGAGAGAAAGCATGAGTGAGAGACATACACAGACTGGCCACTTCATTAAAACTGCCTCCTTGTTTCTACACTCATCTTATCAGCTCCAGTGACCATATAGTTTCACTCTGTAGATCTACAGTTACAGACTGTAGTCCATCTGTTTATCTGCATACTTTGTTACCCTGTTCTTCGATGGTCAAGACCCCCATGGACCCCCACAGAGCAGCTACTATTTGGGTGGTGGGTCATTCTCAGCACTGCAGTAACACTGACGAGGTGGTGGTGTGTTAGTGTGTGTTGTGCTGGTACGAGTGGATCAGACACAGCAGTGCTGCTGGAGTTTTTAAACACTGTGTCCACTCACTGTCCACTCTATTAGACACTCCTACCTTGTCAGTCCACCTTGTAGATGTAAAGTCAGAGACGATAGCTCATCTGCTGCTGCACAGTTTGTGTTGGTCATCCTCTAGTCCTTCATCAGTGGTCACAGGACGCTGCCCACAGGACGCTGTTGGCTGGATATTTTTGGTTGGTGGACTATTCTCAGTCCAGCAGAAACACTGAGGCATTTAAAAACTCCAGCAGCACTGCTGTGTCTGATCCACTCAGACCAGCACAACACACTCTAACACACCACCACCACGTCAGTGTTACTGCAGTGCTGAGAATGACCCACCACCCAAATAGTACCTGCTCTGTGAGGGTCCAGACCCAGAGTGCTTTACTCTGTGATATCAACCCATCAACAACACAGAATACCATTAGTGACTATTGAACACCACCAGGATCCAGCAGACACTTTTAATGGTTTCTATGATTGTTTTTCAGCAGGTTGTGACTGTGGTGTGATTCTCTCACCCTTCAGAATCTCCTCCTGCTGACACACAGTCCTCACACAGATTTCTTTGTTGATGACGTAGACTCGAGGAAGACTGAGGAGACAGGGTTACAGCGTTACTGCACCTCACAGCTGTGTGTGTGTGTGTGTGTGTGTGTGCATGTGTGTGTGTGTTTGTGTGTGTGTTACCTGTAAAGACAGAGGGAGTGGATGCATCTCTTTACAGGGCGGTGGACGGAGTACATCCTAGTGCATGGATACATTTCCTCCCTACAGTCTATAAGACAAAGTCACAGTCACAGACCTGCCTCTCTTTAAATACAGGTCATTTTACTGAACTGGTTCGGAGTCAGAGCTGAAAACACACTTAGGACGTTTAACCGACTGAAATCCTTTTGTTTTTATTTACCCTGTACCCTAATTATGTTTATTTTATTAAAACAAATGACTGAGCATTTTATTTTGTCACAATTATAACACTACTGAAGTTTTACCAGATGTTTCAGTAATGACTGTTTCGGTAGTGACAATTTTAGCTCATTTTGAGCTCAAAAACACAGCCAGTACATGAACACCAGCTACGAGCAGCTGCTCACACATAAAATCATCCTATTTTTCATTATAAACCACAAAGAAAGTACTTTATTGCAGAAAAATTGTGTTTCAGTAGTGACAGTTCTTAACGTTCCACACTGATTTTCAGACTTTGGGATACATTCACTTCTAAAACTGTACTTCTAACTACTCACCATGTGGCCATGAGGGACAGGGATGCAGCCTCACTTCCTGCTCTAAGATGCAGGGCGTGACTAAAATAAGGCTCCGCCTACTGATTAAAACTCTGTGTTACAGTAGTGAGATGAAAACATGGGGCAGCACTGCTGAATAGTTATTTTTATTTACAAATTAAACTAAACGATAAATCTAAATCTTCTATCTTTAAAAGAAATCAAAAACATTGTTTGAAAAAAAGACACAAATATGTATATTTATAAAAGTATAAATTTAGGTGTTACGCTTTGGAACAGGCACCTCTCAGTAGAAGGTACCCTGTAAAGGATGATTTTGTATATGTTTAGCCTATTACTCTCTGTCTGTTGATGCCTTGGATTTAAATAGATCATCTTGTTGGCTTAAGTGGTGTTTTTTTATTGTGGGACCGCAGTTTGATCTAGTTTGGTAGGATGCTCTGTTACATACACTGATGAGCCAAACATTATGACCACCTGTTTACTATGCTATTGGTCCTCCGTGTGCCACCAGCTCCGAGGCATGGACTCCACAAAACCTCTAAGGGTGCTCTGTGGTGTCTGGCACCGAGACATTCGCAGCAGATCCTTTAAGTGCTGTAAGTTGCGAGGTGGAGCCAGCACTGATCAGACTTATTGTTCCAGCACATCCCACAGAGGCTGGACCAAACTGAGATCTGGGGAATTCGAAGGCCAGGGCAACACCTTGACTCTTCATCACGTTCCTCGAACCATTCCTAAACAACGTGTGGAATAGTGGTGGACTGAACACAGATCAACCGATAATCAGAGCTGATGTTCAGTGTTTGTCTGATTATGGGACTTCGAACTTGCTTTCTTCTTCTTGCCTTTCTTTTCATGTGTGGTGCCCTCACACATCGATGAGCCTTGAGGGCCCAACACCCTGTCAGCAGTTCATGGTTTGTCCCTCCTTGGACCACCATGGGTAGATACTCATTGCTGCTGACTGAGAGCACCACCCAAGCTGTACCTTTTTGGATATGCTCCTATCTGTGAGTGGTCAATGTTTTGGCTCATCTAATATGTTACACACACACACACACACACACACACACACACACATATATATATATATATATATATATGTCACACACTGACCTGATGCTGTTTCCCCATTTTCTAAGTACGGTAGCTCTGTTCCAGAAGAATAACAATACATTAGCCAGCTAAAAACACTAACAACCACACAAGCCTGTTACAGTATACACAGTCATTTATAGGGCTCATATTCTCCATTTGCTTCCCAACAGCCATGAACAGCACAACGTTTAATCGTTTTCCCACATCTCCCACTCCTACAGACTGTCTACAGAAACAGCGCTCCACATCACTTTAACAGGAATGGGTGGGGCTAAACTGCTATAGGCTGAATGGGTGGTCATGTGCCCCTGACCAAATCCTGTTTTATTGATACATTCACTACAGAGAACAAAGTTCTAAACATTTTAACACATAGTTACTGTTTATTTTCTGAACTGAACATATTGGGAAATACTTTGATTGGCCACTTCATTAAGTACACCTCTTTGTATGTACACTCCAGGGTCCTGACCATTGAAGAACAGGGTAATAAAGTATGCAGAGAAACAGATGGACTACAGTCTGTAACTGTAGAACTACAAAGTGATCCTATATGGTCAGTGGAGCTGATAAAATGGACAGTGAGCGCAGAAACAAGGAGGTGGTTTTAATGAAGTGGCCAATCAGTGTATAGGTAAAAAATAAAATGTGACCTGTGCAAAAGTTATGGCTTATGTAATATAAAAATATTTCATGTTTTGTTTTATTTTTATGATATGTTCAACTCTGTGAATAAGTAGAAATTGCGTACTAACAGTACAGAAAAAATCTTTAACGTTGTTCCTTGTAAAATGTGTTAACTTATTTTCACTTTGAGAATTTGAGTTTGTTTATGGTTGTGACATCATAACCATGAGGAATTAAAAATGGCCTGGCCCATAGACTCTAGAGTAAGCAATACATTTGAAAAACTAAGCAAAGTAGTGCATTAAAATCTTTTATTTTTGAAAAAGCAGGGATATTTTTAATAAAAACTTTGATTAAAGTTTGGCCTACCTGTCTCCTGGGCCCAGACAGCGACGAATCCTGTGGAAAAAACAACAACACAACAACTGTTTATTGAACAAGGGGAACAAATAATCCTTCATCAACACTAATTAACGTAATTGGTTTGTGTTGTGCTGTTTGGACCGTTTCACGTTACCATAGAAACAGCACAGAAGCACGGCGGTTGGGTAGCTGCCCATCTTGCAGGGTGCTGACCGATCACAGGGAAGGAGCGGTGGAGAAAGAGGCCACAGTCCAAGAGAATTAGCCACAGCGTCATTTAAAAGTGTTCCATTAACAGAGAGATGCTCGTCTGATGGTCAGTTCTGCTCGCTACATTTACATTTACATTCATGGCATTTAGCAGACGCTCTAATTCAGAATGACTTACAAAGGCTTTGCTGTCCACTTCGACAAAGTATCCTAGCTAATGCAAGTAGGTTAGAGTCCAATCTACCCTGGAGCTCAGACGCTGCCAGAAATAAAAGTCAGTGCAAATACAGAATTCAGTGCAATACAATGCATTTCAATAAATACTTAGATCAGTGCTCACTTAAGTGCTTTATAAAGAGGTGGCTC